AGGAAACTACACAACACTCAAGAAAGAAACCAAGGAAGACACAAACAAGTGGAAACATATACCGTGTTCATGGATTGGAAGAATTAACATCATCAAAATGCCCATACTACCAAAGCAATTTACAGATTCAGTACAATACCTGTTAAAGTACCAATGGCATATTTCACAGATATAGAACAAACACTTCAAAAAATTTATATGGAACCATAAAGGAACCCAAATAGCTGCTGCAATTTTGGGAAAGAAGGGCAAAGTAGGAGGGATCACAATACCTGATACCAAACCGTATTACAAGTCCGCTGTAATCAAACCAGCCTAGTACTGGCATAAAAACAGGCACATGGACCAATGGAACAGAACAGAGAGCCCAGAAATAAACCCAAGGCTCTTAAGTCAATTAATATTTGACAAAGTGGGCAGCAACATGAAAATTGAGTAAAAATAGCCTCTTCAACAAATGGTGTTGGGAGAACTGGACAGCTACGTGCAAAAAAATGAAACTCCAGCACCAACTTACACCATACAAAATAACAAATTCAAAGTGGATAAAATATTTAAATATAAGCCAGGACAACATTAAAGTCCTAGAGGAGAACATAGGCAGGAAAATCTCAGATATTTCACACAGCAACACTTTTACTGATATGTCCCCCAGAGCAAGGGACATAAAGGAAAGAATAAATAAATGGGATCTCATCAAAATAAAAAGCTTCTGCATGGCTAAAGAAAACAGTAATAAAATAAAAAGAGAACCAACTGTATGGGAAAACATATTTGCCAATGATACCAAAGGCAAGGGTTTAATGTCCAAAATAAGTAATGAACTCACAGGACTCCACTCTAAGAAGACAAGCAACCCAATTTAAAAAATGGGCAAAGGACTTGAACAGACACTTCTCCAAGGAGGACATACAGAGGGCCCAGAGACACATGAAAAGATGCTCAATATGGCTAGCTATCAGAGAGATGCAAATTGAAACCACAATGAGATACCACTTTACACCAGTCAGAATGGGCATCATAAACAAAGCAATAAACAACAAGTGTTGGAGAGGTTGTGGAGAAAAGGGGACCCTAGTGCACTGTTGGTGGGATTGCAGACTGGTACAACCACTATGGAAAACAGTATGGAATTTATTCACAAAACTCAAAATGGATTTGCCTTTTGACCCAGCAATTCCACTGCTAGGATTATGTCCTAAGGAACCTGAAACACCAATTCCAAAAGAACCTGTGCACTCCAATGTTCATAGCAGCAAAATTTACAATAGCCAAGTGTTGGAAGCAACCTAGGTGTCCATGAGTAAATGAATGGATCCAAAAACTATGGTACATTTACACAATGGAATTCTATGCAGGAGAAAGAAAGAAGGAGTTCCTACCCTTTGCAACAGCGTGGATGGAACTGGAACTCATTATGCTAAGCAAATAAGCCAGGCAGTAAAAGACAAATATCATATGATCTCTCCTTTAACAGTAAGTAACCTAAACAACAAAACAAAGAAATAAGCAAAACATTACCAAAGACACTGAAATAGAGAACAGGCTGACAGTGACCAGAGGGAGAGGGGAGGGAATTTCAGGGGAAAAGGGGTAGGGTTTGCAGGAACAAGTATAAAGGACACATGGACAAAAATAAGGAGGGCTGGAAATGAGAGGGAGGTAGGGAGGGCTGGGGGGGGTGGGTTGGGATGGGAGTAAAAGGCAGAAAACTGTACTTGAGGAACAATTAAAAAAAGACATGTCATTATCTTTACCTTACTCTCATTTGTTTCTTTTTTTAACTTTATTTTTGTTGTTTACACTGTTACAGATGTCTTCATTCCTGCCACCTTAGCACATCTTATCCCCCTGCCATAACTCCCTCTTCCCTCTGGCCATCACCACACTGTTGTCTCTCTGGGTTATTCATGGATGTTCTTTGGCTTATTCCTTCACCTTCTTTTGTCAAGTATCATTTTGTCCCCCAAATAAGCCCCATGTAGTAGAAGGTCAATTCCATCATCTCTATTATACTTTGTTAATGATCTCTCTATGGTTTGTGTTATGTTATTTTACACTGTGAAATATCCTTACAGATTCATATTTTCATTTGCCACTGACATCTAAAATGAAAGCAATGTTATTCGAGGCATGGACTAATGTAGTTAGTATTTGGATTTGTCATGATTTTTTCCTTTCTTTCAATTTATATTGTCAATATGCTGAAACAATATCACATAAAAATTTAAATCCTTTTTTTCCCAAGGGCTGACAGAATTATATCCCAACTGGTCATTCCAAATGTATTTCTCTCTGTGACTGAGAATTTGCACTAATCTCTATTTTTTCTAGTCTCCCAAATGTCCTCCATGCAATTGATTTTATTCTTTACCATTGGGCCTTTCATTATGTGACAGCTACTTTGTGTCCATATGCATATTTGCAAAGTTGTCCAACTACAAAGTTTAAGGGTACAGTAGTACAGACAAGACCACCCACATTTCTGACACAAATTATAAGTTCAGGGGTCCCCAATACTACTATTAGTATCAATAATTTGTTAGAAGGACTACAGAATTTACTGAAAGCTATAACCCTCACAGTTATAGTTTGTTACAAAGGAAGAATACAGATTAAAATCATTCCAAGCACATAAGGCAAGTTCAGGAAAGTACCAAATATGGAGCTTCTAGTACTCCTCTCACTGTGGAGTTTTGGACAGTATTACAGAATATTGCCAACCAGGGAGGCTTCACCTGAATTTAGTATCAAAAACTTATATTGGGTTCAATCACATAAGCTTGATTGATTGTTCATATGCCTGATCTCAGTTTTCAGCTCCTAAGAGGTCAAGCTGATACTGTGTGACCCAAAGCCCCCATCTTAAATCACATTGTTGGTGTGACTCAAAGACCCCACCAGTTCACTCTGAAATCACACTGTTACTTTGTAGCTCACCACGGGCTGCCAAGCAAAGAAATACATTCCTGTTAAGCATGACATTCTGTGGATTCAGAGATTACCTCCAGAAGCCAAAGGCAAATGTCAGACCTCTTATTGGACAAGGTTATATTCTTTACCACACAATGCTACATACCCTTTAGTTAAAAGATCGGGTTACACTTCCTGCATGAAATGTGTCTTGACTACTCCAAACCATGTTACTTCCTTTTTTCTGCACTCTCATTCCACTGATTGTAACAGGTAAACAGTCACATCCTCTGATATGATCTAATAATTTGGTATGTGATTCAATGTTGTTTTATCTGAGGCTTATTTCCTCATCTGATTAACAATTCCTTCAAAATAAGATCCCCTCTTTTACTTTTCCTTACTGTAGTTTGTAACAAAGTCTAGACATAGTAGTTACCTGATTATCTAAGGTACCATACAGGGAAAACATCTTTCTCATCCATTCAGAACTCATTTAATGGTAAGATATCATGCCAAGATTAATACCTTTGCCTCATATAACAGTATATTAATGTATGTATATTAATGTATGTTCAAAAGGTTTCAAAGAAGATAATAAAATATTGACTTTCAAGAGGATAAGTTACAGTTGGGAAGGCAATATTCTCAAATTTAGCATTTTATATAGAACGTTCACATTAAAATAGCAGGTTGTTGAAAGACATCTTGGAGTGAGTAGTCCAGACTATAATTATATTCTAATTTCAGACAGATTAGACCTTGAAGGAGAAAAAGGATATGTGAAAGCTTAGATAAATTGGGTAGTAGCATGTCCCTGAATGTGACTGAGGCACTTAGGAAGGCAATGTAACTCCAGTTACCAATACAGATAAGTTCTGCATGTTCTAGAAGTACACTAAATGGAATTGTGCAATATTTACTCTTTTGTAAAGTGTTCATTCTGAAAAAAGTTTTAGCTGCATCCTTTTGTCATTAGTAGGGTTTCTTTTCTTTTTTTATTGCTGAGTAGTATTACATTGTGTAATTACATGACACAATATTACCTATTTATCTCTTGATGGATAATTGGACTGTTTCTAGTTTAGGGCTATTGTAAATAAGGTGCAGGTTATGGTTAAGAAGAATCCATCTTTAAAATTGCTCTACTAGATATGGGTTGTAGTAAGATTTAGCCGAGAATTTGTAGGAAAAGTAATAGGTAAGGTCAGTCAGTGCTATACACATACATTGAGGAATCCAGTCCTTCACAGTACCAAAAGGGAATAGTAGAGTTTAAGGTAGGAAAACTTGAACCCATTTTTTTGCGACACTGAAAAAGTAATTCAGCAAATTCAATGGGGAAAAATTATAATTGATGGTCAAGAGAATTTAGTTATTGACTATCCCCTGGAAGAATAAATTGATGTAGCAGTAGTCACTGATTATATGCATGTTTCAAGTATGCTTTGACCTCTGGTTTATTTTATAATTCCTACTGAAAATATTTTCCTAATTCTTCCCTTTCAAGAGAAAATAAATCACAATTATATGGAGAGCTAGGGTTTAAACTGTAGACTACTGTTTCTCTCAAAACTAGGAATGAGTAGTTAATAAAGTTTATTTGTCATGGATAGGCTAAATGCAAGTGAAAAAGAAACAAACAGAAGTATTTTATAAAACTTAGTTAGGCATGAGGAAATAAATACATAGGCTTTAATTTCTACCTAAACAGTGTTCCTTGCTTACTGGTTAGTGTTCTTGATAGACTCACTCCATTATTTCTGAATTCTAAGAATAATGCCACTTTCACTATCCTGTGCTTACTTGTCCTTGTGTTTATTAGACCTGCTCAGTTTAGCTTATAATACAAAATGGCAAAGATATGAGTGTTCTTTTCTTATGCCAATTTATCCTCATTTCAACAATATAGTAGGATTTGTGTTTATGTTCTATGCATTTTTCCCTACCAACAGTTAATTTATCCTGGCCTTTCTGTAGATCACAATAGTGAGACAGATGGTCCCACAATGGGTTATTTGTATATATATATATCGAATTCATAATGTTTATGTGAAGTCTTACAGTGTTCTTTATTTTTTTTCTAGAAGAAGATGGGAAAGCTGAAGGTGTTTTAATGAAGTTCAAAGAATATCAAAATAGGCATTTTAGATCAGTTGTATTCATCAACCACAAAAGACTAACTAAGGAAAGAAGTAATATTTGGGGGAAAACACTTACTGTAGGCAAGAACTATATTATTTCAAAAACAACACTACATGAATATAAACCTGATGGAAAGGTTTTGAAAAATATTTCAGAATTGGTCATTAGAAATATAAGACCTGTAAGAGAGAAGTTTGGTGAGAGTAATGGATGGGAGAAATCACTCCTCAATACTAAGCATGAGAAAATTCATACTGCAGTGAATCTCTATAAACAAACAGACTGGAGTCTGAGTGATGAACAGGAACTTATTCAACATCAGAAGGTTCAAACTGAAGAGCAATCATTTGAACAAAATGAGTGTGAAAATTCCTTCCTTGTGAAAGGAATGTTATTTACACATACTAGAACTCACAGAGGAGGAGAAAGACTCTTTGAATACAATAAAAATATAATGCCTTTCATTAAAAAGTCAAATCCAAGTGTCCATCCACAAAATCTTATAGAAAAGAAGCCCCATGCATATAGCAAATATGGGAAATTCCTCTGCAGGAAGTCCATTTTTATTATGCATCAGAGATCTCAAACAGAAGAGAAACCCTTTCATTGTCCTTACTGTGGGAATAGCTTTAGAAGGAAGTCATATCTCATTGAACATCAGCGAATTCACACAGGTGAGAAACCTTATGTTTGCAATCAATGTGGAAAAGCCTTCCGTCAAAAGACAGCCCTCACTCTTCATGAGAAAACACATGTTGAGGGGAAACCCTACATGTGTATGGATTGTGGGAAGTCCTTCCGCCAGAAGGCAACCCTAACTAGACATTACAAAATACATACAGGGGAGAAAGCTTATGAATGTACTCAGTGTGGGAGTGCTTTTAGAAAGAAGTCATACCTCATTGATCATCAGAGAACTCACACAGGAGAGAAACCATATCAATGTAATGAATGTGGGAAGGCATTTATCCAGAAGACAACGCTCACTGTACACCAAAGAACTCACACAGGAGAGAAACCCTATATTTGTAGTGAGTGTGGAAAGTCCTTCTGCCAAAAGACAACCCTTACTCTCCATCAAAGAATTCATACAGGGGAAAAACCCTATATTTGTAATGAATGTGGAAAATCTTTTCGCCAGAAGGCAATCCTCACTGTTCATCAGAGAATACATACAGGAGAGAAGTCCAATGGATGTCCTCAATGTGGGAAAGCCTTTAGTAGGAAATCAAACCTCATTCGCCATCAGAAAACTCATACAGGAGAGAAACCATATGAATGTAAAGAATGTGGGAAGTTCTTTAGTTGTAAGTCAAACCTCATTGTCCATCAGAAAACTCACAAGGTAGAAACCATGGAAATATAGTAAATGATGTGACTTTATTCTTATAAAAGCTTTGAAAGTCATAGTAAACCCTGTATTGATGTTGCTTGCAAATGTAATAATATTCAATAGTTTAAGGTACTATAAACATACCTATTATTTACTAGATGATAAAATACACAGAATTACTAGACAAATTAAATGACAAAAGTCATTGAAAATACAAGTCCCAATTTTTATTAGAGTCACAAGAGATAAACTTTCTCAAGTTGCTTTACACATTTAAAATTGCTTGTTTTCAATTTCAATACCTACCTGGTTGTAAACCAGTAGTACAGAGTTGGTATATGAACCATACTATAAGCAAAGGACTTTAAAAAAGAAAGTAGTTGTGAACTGTATTTTTCATTGCAAATATGGAATAAAAATTAGCTGCTACCTCCTCAGAGTTAACCACAGTTCTAACTTCTAACATTATAAATTAATTTTTGCATATTATACTTTATACAAATTGGATTATATATCATGTATTGATATTTTTTACATTTGGCTTATTCCATAATTATGTCTCTGAAATTCATCATTAGTGCATTTAGCAGAAATTTGTATATTCTGTGTAGAATCTCATATGAATATATCACAGTTTATCCATCTATTTTTGGTGGACTTTTTCTTTGTTTATAGCTTAGGGTTATAATAAATAATGCTTTTGTGAATATATTTGCTTTTGGTATACATATATTTATTTCTCTTGTATATATACTTAGGAGTGGATTTTCTAGTTCCTGAGGCATATTTGTGTTGGTTGGCTTTGGTAGATGCTACCAAACAACTCAGAACTTTCACAGTATGAGATAATTTATTCTGAAGAGAAACAACTGAATATTATCAGTATGGTGATGGTTCAAACCAGAAAATTCATGGTAGAAGGAAACTCTATGAGTGTTGTGAAAACTGGGAATCTGAATGTAATACATGTATAAAGGCTTTAGCCACAGCCCACATTTTAATATACCTAACACCAAATAAATGTAATAAATGTGAGATTACCTCTAGCCCCAATAATGCCTTATGTGAAATCAGAAAGTTATACTACAGAAAGGGAGGCACTTAGCAACTTCCTTGCTCATTATGAGAGAATTCTAACTGGAGAAAAACCCTATGAATAAAATGAAGGGTTTGGGGGATAACCTTTACTTATAGCCCATATCTTACCAGTCATATAAAAATGATGAATATGGAAAAGTTAGCCATAGCTTAAATGTTAATACAACACCAGAAAATTCACATTATATGGGAACTATTCAAATAGAATTTTGTAAGAATAACTTTAGCCATAGCTCACTCCTTATACAACACCAAACAATTTATACCGAAGAAAGGAAAATTAAATGAGGATCATATAAAGTTTTTAACTTTAACTCCAGGGAATTCTGCTTCCATGAAAGAAGTCCAACCATACTGAGATCATTGTGCTAGAGACTATGCATAGGCACTCTGGGCAATAGTTCCTAGTGATCATCCAACTGAGCCATCTTGGACATCCCATCAAGTTTTCAGATAACTGTAGTCCACTGGCATCCAACTGGTACCACATGACAGACCCTAAGCAATCACTGCTCAACTGAGATCTAAAATTTCTGACTCACAAAATGGTTACATCTTTTGAATTAAATTTGATAATCAAAAGAAAAGGGAAAATCTTGTTTGTATCTATATATAAGAATAAAAGTATGAATACTTGGATTCTAGAGTTAATGAGCAAAAGTGTGGTGACTACTAGGTGATTTTGGCATGAACAAAAACTAGCACTGAAATTCAGTGTAAGATCAGTCTTATTACTTTGTTTTACAATTATATACCTAAATAACAGCTCAATGAAAGGTCCATATATGTATTTTATTTCTCATTTTCTGAAAGGAAATTAGACTTATCAACTTGGTTAGCTTATCTGTACAAATGTATACTTACAAATTTTTGAAAAATGAAAATAGCCCCAAACTTGATGGCTCAGATGGCAACACAGAAGGAGCTTAATTTCTAGGTTGCAATTCTATTAGATATAACAACTAAAGAAAAATGTAAGTAGAAAATGGAGTAATGAATGGAATGAAGTCTTCTCATTTGTTTAGAAATTTTACATCCAAATTTTTCTAGAGTATTTCTCTGGAAGTATCTAGTCAAAACAATCAGGCTTTGAGTTTCACAAAATCCTCTTGAAGTTCTTCCAGTGAGGACTGAACATAAGTATAAAACACATTCTTTCCAAAGCTACCACAGGCTGGTTTTAAGAACAAGGTCAATAACACATCACCAACAATAGTTCTGGATATTTCACTTCTCCCCGCCCTGAAATAACATTCATGAATCTGGTCCCCAAACAACTGACTAAAAACTGAGTATTTTTAACATGAGTCTGTATCTGGATTTTGGCAGTTTTGCTTAAAGTATTTCATGATGAGCAGTGATGGTGTTTCCCCTTGACATTTCAGGGTCAATATATTTTAAGCTTCAATGTGTTAATTCTAATGTTAGTTTTATTTTTTGAAAATTTAAAGTACAGATGTTTTTTTTTTTTGCAGTGTTCCAAAATCAGTTATTCTGTCCATAAAATCAGCTGAATACAGTTCTTCGAGAACGAAGGAACCTTAGTATGTAACAGAAAGCACTCTGAATGGCCTTCAGATCTTCAAAAGCAAAGGCAAAATGGATTCAAATATACTGTTTTTGACAATGGTTAGGCTGACAATAAGGCTGAAGTTTTCCAGTATACTATGGGAAGGTCATGGAAGTCGATGCTTGCTGGTGATTGCTGAAGTACACTTTTTGCAAAGAAAAAAAAACCCCAAAGCTAAAACATGCCACTGATAACACTTCAAAACTATAATCTTCAGTGGTCAAGTAACAGCCTTGTGAAAATAGGACATCCACAGTTTTTAAAACCTAATTGTGATTATAAAGGAAAGTGCTATGTTCTTCATTAGTAGACTCATCAACAGCAAAGGAGGAGGAGCTGATGTTTCATTTTTGTTTTTGTTTAAATATTTATTTCTTAATTTTATTGGGGTGACATTGGTTAAGAAGATTATATATATTTCAAGTGTACATTTCTATGATACATGATCTGTGTATTGCCTAGTGTGCCCACCACCCAAAGTCAAATCATCATCTGTCATCACATGTTTGACTCTCTTTACCCTTTACTTCTGCCCCCACCTCACCTACCATGTTTTCTGTATCTAAGAGCTTTTGCTTGCTTTGTTTATTTGTTGCTTTCAGTTTTATATACCACAGATGAGTAAAATCATACGGTTCTTAACTTCTATCTGACATCTCATTTAGCATGATATTCTCAAGATCCATCCATGTTGTTCCAAATAGCACTATTTCATCTTTTCTTGTGGCTGAGTATTATCCACTGTGTTGTGTACCACATCTTTATCCAATCATCTATCAAAGGACACTTCAGTTTCCAGTTTTGGCCACTGTAAATAATGCTGCAATGAACTTATGGGTGCATATATATTTGTGTAAATGTTTTGAATTTGGGGGGATAGACACCTAGGAGAGGAATTGCTAGATCATATGGTAACTCATTTTTAATTGAGGAACCACCATAACATTTTTCATAGTGGCTGAGATTCCCACCAGCAATGAAGGGGGTTTCCTTTTTTTCCAAAACCTCTCCAACACTTGTTATTAACAGTCTAGTTGATAACAGCCATTCTAACAGGTATGAGGTAGTATCTCATTGTAGTTTTGATTTGCATTTCCCTAATAGCTAGTGAAGTTGAACATTTTTTTCATATATCTTTTTCATTTGTATGTAGTCTTGAAAGAAGTATTTATTCAGGTCATCTGCCCATTTTTTTAATTGGATTGTTTGTTGGGTGTTGAGTTACATGAGTTGTTTTTTTTTTATATATATTTTGGATATTAACCCCTTGTCAGAGCTGTTATTTGCAAATATCTTTTCCCATGTGGTTGGTTGCCTTTTTGTTTTGTTAGCAGTTTCTTTTGCTGTGCATAAGCTTTTTAGTTTGATATAGTACCATACATTTTCTTTTCCTTTATATTCCTTTCCTTTCAGGTCAATTCATAAAATCCTCCATAAGACCAAGGCCCATAAGTTTAGCACCTATGTTTTCATACTTGTACTTTCTTATTTCAACCTCTGATTCATTTTGAGTTAGGTTTTAAAACTTTTTTATTGTTGTTTAAGTATGGTTGCCTCAATTTCCCGCACACACACCCCCACCCCAGCCATCCCCACTACCCACTCTTGATCCTACCCTGCTTTGGTTTTGTCCATGTGTCCTTTATAGATGTTTCTGAAAACCCTTCCCCCTTTCCCCCCATTATCCCCTCCCCCTCCCCTCTGGTTACTGTCTGTTTGTTCTTAATTTCAATGTCTCTGGTTAAAATTTGCTTTCTTGTTTTTTTTCATTTTTAAAAAATATATTTTATTGATTATGCTATTACAGTTGTCCCATTACCCCCTATTCATTCCCCTCTACCCTGCACACCCTCTCCCACCCACATTCCCCCCATTTAGTTCATGTCATGTATCATAAGTTCTTTAGCTTCTACATTTCCCATACTATTCTTGCCCTCCCCCTATTTTCTACCTACCATCTATGCTACTTATTCTCTGTACCTTTTCCCGCTCTCTCCTTCTCTCACTCCTCTGTTGCTAACCCTCCATGTGATCTCCATTTCTGTGGTTCTGTTCCTGTTCTAGTTGTTTGCTAAGTTTCTTTTTGTTTTAGGTGTGGTTGTTAATAATTGTGAGTTTACTGTCAATTTACTATACATGCTTTTTTATCTTCTTTTTCTTAGATAAGCACCTTTAACATTTCAGTATAATAAGGATTTGGTGATGATGAACTCCTTGAACTTGCTCTTTATCTGCCCTTCCATTCTAAATGAAAGCTTTGATGGATAGAGTACTCTTGGCTGTACGTCCTTGCCTTTCATAACTTGGAATACTTCTTTCTAGCCCCTTCTTGCCTGCAAGGTCTCTTTTGAGAAATCAGCTGACAGTCTGATGGGAACTCCTTTGTAGGTAACTGTCTCTTTATCTCTTGCTGCTTCTAGGATTCTCTCCTTCATTTTTACCTTGGCTAATGTAATTCTGATGTGCCTTGGTGTTTTCCTTCTTGGGTCCAACTTCTTTGGGACTCTCTGAGCTTCCTGGACTTCCTAGAAGTCTATTTCCTTTGCCAGAATGGGGAAGTTCTCCTTTATTATTTATTCAAATAAATTTTCCATTGGCTGCTCTTCCTCTTCTCCTTCTGGTACCCCTATAATTCGGATGTTGGAATGTTTAAAGATGTCCTGGATGTCCCTAAGCCTCTCCTCATGTTTTTGAATTCTTATTTCTTCATTCTTTTCTGATTGGATGTTTCTTTCTTCCTTCTGGTCCACTCCATTGATGTGAGACCCAGCTTTCATTCCATCACTATTGGTTCCCTGTACATTTTTCTTCATTTCAATTATTGTAGCCCTCACTTTTTCATCTAATTTGTGACCAAAATCAACCAGTTCTGTGAGCATCCTGATCACGAGTGCTTTGAACTGTGCATCTGATAGGTTAGCTATCTCTTGGTCACTTAAAAGTACTGATTCTGGGGTTTTCAATTCTGTTTGAGCCATCTTTTTTGTTTTTTGTTTTTTGTTTTTTTGCTTTGGTCTGGTCATG